TTTTATAATAGTTGACCTTTCATATCTAGACATTGCATAGTCAACCTGCATGTTTAATACACCTTCAAAGGACTTACGGAGAATTATTGGTTGGTTAAACATTCGATTTAAAAAAATTATTCGTTTGATTTTTACAGTTTTTCATGGGTATTGAATTGTAAAAAGAGAGTCAAGGATGAACTGCCATAAAACATTTACAAAATTGTAATAAAAAATCATTATTAATATTATCAACTGCGTCAACTGTCTTAATTTGGATCCCAGAACATTTATTTATAAGTTCAATTCAACAAAAAAGTTAAGTTCATCCGAATAATTTTATTTAATCAAGAATAAAAGAAGATCGTGAAGTAGATAACGTAGGAATTGTTTTTATACGTACAGATACTGGTATTGTGATAGAGACTGTCTTTGAAAATGTCAAACGTGCATCAATAGTGGCTCTGCGCTTTCGTGTACTAATGGAAGAATTCGTCGAATCCTCGTTTTCTTGTAGACTTGCATATTCGAGGAACAAAACATTACAGTTTTTATAAGACACATTAACACCTATAACACACTGCAAGCTGATGGATTGACTTCTTTAAATGCATGATTCGGTATGTTAAGGATTCAAACAACCAGTTTAGCATCAATAGCAAAGAAAGAATTCGAAATTTGAAATGTAGAAACAAAGTTCTTCGCCTGTATACTTATAATATACGTGACCTACAACAAGATGCCACATGACAGTAAACACAGGAAAACAAAACCATAGTCGGTACTTACCAAGATTCTCAGACGGTCCAAAGTACTGCCCGATGTTTTCACGACGGCACAGATCCTCACGGCTGCAGAGTCATTACTGACATTGCAGTCAGGGACGCGTTTATATAGCGACTGAGTTGCTGGATAAAACCGGTCCGGAAGGTTTTAATTGTCCAAGAAACAAAGAAAAACACTATGCTGATTTGCATAGGGAAGACAACATAATTCGTAATTAAAAAGAGACCGAGTTCAATCACCATATGGAAAAAGACTAACAATAAAGTTGGAGACTAACAATAAAATTGGTGATCAATTAAACAACAACATATTGCGTGTCTGAATTCATTGTTATAAGAAATAAGTTGTATAACTTGAGTTCAGCCCCACTTCGTCCTTGTCTTGTATTGCTTCATTCAATAAAAAAAAAGAATTCATTGTTGAAATTATCATACGTGCTGATATGCATAGAGGCAAATTAGACAACATCCTTAGGAAAGAGATCATTAAAGAAGATAGTTAGACACAACATTACGTGTTTTTATTTATTGGTGAAGCTAAGAGGCAGAAAGTTAACAAATCACTAACACCTACAGCTATTTACAGAACACTTACAAACAAACAATTAACAAATAACACTCTGGTGCATCTAGAACTAAAATACATACTCCTAACTAACTATAAATTTTACATTCTAAGAATCAAGTTTACTGTCTCTTACTGTGCCACTACAGTCTAATTAGTCCACAACTTTTAGTTCTAATCAACGGGCTACGGAGCATGCATTCGTAATTTTACAATTTAGTCATGTCGAGAGTACACTACTGAAAGGAAACAGTAAACAAGATCTCAGGTCACATTGCTAAAAGTGATCTACAAACCTCACTACTGACTCCAATCATACCACACAATAGTAACCAAAACAACCGGAGACAACTACATGTAATTGACAGACGTCGAACGAACGGTGTCTTATAATTACCACGTGGATCTCTGTCACTATTGCACAAACACTCCACATTCGTATTTTACACTCTACTTGAAGTATTTCTAGATCTACTAACGATAGTACGGAGCACACAACGATCATGATCGTGACAACAAGAGAAATTGTCTACAGATACTGCACTTCCGCCTTTTTACACACTACACTGTACTTCCAGTTCTAAACAAACTATATATACAGGGCATGTGTCGATCGTGATGTAAAATCGTTGTTTTCGTTGCATTTTCACACGTGTTCGATTTCTCTTGTGTGAGTCTGCATGTGCCTCTTTAAACTTACCAACTGAATAAACTTTCTGCTGCACTCCTTGCATACGTACGGTTTCTCACCAGTGTGAGTCCGCATGTGTGTCTTTAGGCTTGATAATTGGCTAAACTGCTTGCTGCACTCCTCACATCTGTACGGTTTTTCACCAGTGTGACTTCTCATGTGTTCCTTCAGACTACCCAGGGTACTGAACTGTCTGCTGCAATCTTTACACTTGTAAGGTTTCTCACCAATGTGAGTCCAAATGTGCTTCCTCAGACTTCCAAACTCACTGAACTGCCTTCCACATTCCTCACACCTGTACGGTTCTCACCAGTGTGAGTCCGCATGTGTGCCTTTATATTTCCCAGCTGACTAAACTGCTTGCCGCACTCCTCACATCTGTACGGTTTCTCACCAGTGTGAGTTTTCGTATGCATCTTCAGATTGCCCAGCCTGCTGAACTGCCTGCTGCACTCCCGCATTTGTACGGTTTTTCGCCTGTGTGAGTCCGCATATGCCTCTTTATATCTGTCAGTGTACTAAACTGCTTGCCGCACTCCTCACAGTTGTACGGTTTCTCACCTGTGTGAAACCGTATGTGTGCCTTTAGATTAGACAGCTGACTGAACTGCTTACCGCACTCCTCACACCTGTAGGGTTTCTCGCCGGTGTGAGTTCTCATGTGATCCTCCAGATGACTCAGCTGGCTGAACCGCACTCCCCGCATTTGTATGGTCTCTCTCCAGTGTGAATCCGCATATGCCTCTTTAGATCTGTCAGTGTACTAAACTGCTTGCCGCACTCCTCACACCTGCACGGTTTCTCACCAGTGTGAAACCGCATGTGTCTCTTCAACCGACTGGGGAAGCGAAACTCCTTGCCACACTCGCCACACTTGTGGGTACGCGGAGAACCATTCTCTCTCTCCTCTTGTTTCAGGTGAGATTCAGCTCTGGTCGCCATGTTGGTCAAACTCGTAATCCTGTATAATGGATTGCAAATTTCATTATATCAAATATCAAATATCAAATATCATTCAAGATTAAACTACTGCTCCTGCATAAAAAAGGAAAAAAAATCAATATTTCATTTAAATAAAGTTTCATGGGGTCACGAAATTTATATGGTGTATAAGATGCATACTGACAAATGCACCTAAACATGTCAGTTACATGTATCGGTTTTGGTTTACAGAAATTGATAGTTGGGTTTGTGTGGCGTTAAACTTGGTTTCATCGGAGATAATGATTTAAATAGCCAGATTAGCATGAATAGCCAAGAATAAAAAGTTCTTCGTCCGCCGATTTATAAATTAGCCTACAAATATATGCCGCATTAAAGTTACAGATAAAGAAAATACTGGAAAATTCGGCACTTACCAAGATGCACTGACGCCCCAAAGTACTGCACGATGTTTTCACGACGGCACAGATCCTCACGGCTGCAGAGTCAGTACTGCAAAAGCAGAGCAGTCAGGGACGCGTTTATATAGGGACTGAGTGGGTGGATGAAACCGGTCCGGTGGGTTTTACTTGATTACGAAACAATGAAAGCACCCTGCTGATTTGCATAGGGAAAGAATCAGACAAAGCCATTCGTAGAAAAAAGAGACCAAGTTGGAGACGAACCATAAAGTTGGTGATCAATAAAACAACAACATACTAGTATTACGTGTCGGAATTTATTGTTCAAATTATCATGTTACATGCGCTGATTTGCATAGGGGCAAATTAGACAATATGCTAAGAAAAAAGGCATCAATAAAGAAGACAACACATTACGTGTTTTGATTTATTGACAAAACTTAGATGCAGAAATTGACAAATCTCTAACAGCTACATATGTAGTTTTATACTATTACAGAACAGTAAACAGTAACAGTAAACAGTATTTACCAAAACATTCTAGTGCATCTAGAACTACATGTACCGATATATGCTGCTAACTAACTCTAAATTTCGTATTCTAAGGATCTAGTATACTGTGGTTAGTTAAATGCAAATCAAAGAAAACAAGTTTACTGCGGTTACTTAAAAGCAAAGCAAAGAAAAGAAAATTAGTTTTATCTGGAAAGCGGCTTATTAAGTGCTTGTAATTTCGTAATTTCGTAATTTTACAATTTAGTCATGTAGAGAGTACACTTTCCAACAACAGTAAATACATGTAATGGGTCACATTACTAGGTAAGGATCTACAAGCCTCGCTAGCAACTCAAAAGATACCACATAATAGTAATACTTACATGGACATTGGAGAGGTTTCGTTGGTATGAGATTGCATATGAAACACACAGACTGCTTAAATGCCGGTTTGCAGGTGAAACAAGAAAACTTTCAACTTAAAATCTCCCGAATCTGGTTTCACACTTATGCATAAACTTCAGATGCATGGTTCGGCATGCTAATGTTTCAAAAGTTCAATTTAGCATCAATACCTAAGAATGATTAGTGAGTCGAAATGCCGATTAAACGTAACCTACAACATTACGAAACCTGGTTTCACCGGAGATGATAATGATTCAAATAGCTAGATTAGCATGAATAGCCAAGAATGAAAAGTATGACAGTAATGAAACCCTACAAATAGATGCTGCATGGAAGTTACAGATTAAGAAAATACTGGAAAATTCGACACTTACCAAGATGGCTCACGGCTGCAGAGTCAGTACTGACAGAAACAGAGCAGTCAGGGACGCGTTTATATAGAGACTGAGTGGGTGGATAAAACCGGTCCGACAGGTTTTACTTTATTAAACACAAAGGAAACCATCATGCTGATTTGCATAGGAAAGAATCAGACAACATCGTTCGTAGAAAAAAAAGACCGAGTTGGAGACTTACAATAAAGTTGGTGATCAATAAAAGCAACAACGTTAACATATTGCGTGTCTGAATTTATTGTTGAAATCATCATGTTACATGCGCTGATTTGCATATGGTAAATTAGACGACATCCTTAGGAAAAAGATCATTAAAGAAGATACTAGTAGGTAGACACAACATTACGTGTTTCTATTTATTGGCGAAGCAAAGAAGCAGAAAGTTAACAAATCTTTAACACCTATAGCTACTTACAGGACACTTAAAAACAAACAACATTTAACAAACAACGATCAAGTGCATCTATATCTAGAACATATATGCTGCTAACTAAATCTAAATTTTACATTCTAAGAATCAAGTATACTGTGGTTACTTAAAAGCAAATCAAAGAAAATTAGTTTTACCTGGAAAGTGGACTATTAAGTGCTGTAACAGACGGACCATGCGCCTTGATGGCAAACGAACGGTCTCTTACCGTGTAACTCTGTCACCTTGTCGGATATAAGGATGGTTATGGATTATGTCTGGTATATCAGTTTAAACAATTGTCTATTATACAATTATAGCAAAATAGAGACGAAAACAGATATTTGCAAAGGGGATGCCGCAATGATGATGATGACTAGTTACGAGATATATGTTACACACTGGTCTAGAGGGTAAAGAGCATGGGGACAGGGAATATGGAAAAATTGCAGCGGCGGTGACCAATAAATACGGCACATAACGCGCTTTATTGTTAAAATGAGATGCAAAAATTTGGCATATCTCTAACAGCTACCTATAGTTAACAGAACACTGTAAAAAAAAACAGTTCACTTTTTCACTTCACATTTTACAAACAACATGAATGTGCTGCAACCGTAACTAAACGCAAAAAATCTAGTATATTTACAGATACTAAAACAAAGAAAACTACATTTGTACATTGCAATGAATTGATAACATACTTCACAAAACGCTACAGATCTAGTACATTTAAGTGCCTGTATTTGAACATGTAGTTGACTAAGTTACAATGACACAAAATGGGTTAAACGAACGATGTCCTACCATGTAACTATTGTCTAAATAGTTATACTACACTTTCGCATTTTACAAAAGACTTCTAGCACGATCGTGATATTAAAACACCGCTATTATTTACTTGACAATGGAGTCGTGTAGACAGTACACTACTAACAGAAAAACATTAAATGCTTTGGCAAAAAAATAACACAATAAAACCAGACAGTACTTAATTAAACGACCCCACTATCTTACACAGAGGTTGACAGACCTTTTTCGATATGGGTTTTCATGTTGGCAATCTGACGAAAGCCTCCGTTGCATTCCGAGTCGTGTTCGGTTTCTCCACTCGGTGAGCCCGCACGTGTCTCTTTAAACTTCTGCTGCTGGCGAATTGACTGCTACACTCCTCACATTTGTAGGGTTTCTCACCGGTGTGAGTTCTAATGTGCTCCTTTAGATGCACCAGCTGACTGAACTGCCTGCTGCACTCTTCACACTCGAAGGGTTTCTCTCTTGTGTGAGTCCGTATGTGTCTCTTCAGATTACGCGAGTCGCTGAACTGCTTACTGCATTCCTCACATCTGTACGGTTTCTCACCTGTGTGAGTCCGCATGTGCATTTTTAGATTACACAGTAGACTGAAGTGCACGTTGCATTCCCCACACATGTAGGGTTTCTCACCTGTGTGAGTTCTCATGTGTTCCTTCAGATGACCCAGCTGACTGAACTGCTTACTACACACCCTACAACTATACGGTTTCTCACCTGTGTGAGCCCGCATGTGTATCGCCAGATGACTCAGCTGACTGAACTGCTTGCTACACTCCTCACATTTGTACGGTTTCTCACCTGTATGAGTCCGCATGTGTCTCTTTAGATTTGACAATGTACTAAACGACCGACTGCACTCCTCACATTTGTACGGTTTCTCACCAGTGTGTGTTCTTATGTGCTTCTTCAAATGACCAAACTCGATGAACTGCTTGCTGCACACCTCACACCTGTAGAGTTTTTCACCCGTGTGAGTCAGTATGTGTGCCTTTAGATGAGCCAGCCTACTGAACTGCTTGCCGCACTCCTTACACCTGTACGGTTTCTCGCCGGTGTGAGTTCTCATATGGGTCTTCAGATGACTCTGCTCACTGAACTGCCTGCCGCACTCCTCACAGCTGTACGGTTTCTCACCTGTGTGAGTCCGCACGTGTCTCTTCAACTGACTGAGGAAGCGAAACTCCTTGCCACACTCGGCGCACTTGTGGGTACACTTGTGGGTACGCGGCTCACCCTGCCCATTCTCTCCCTCCTCTTGTTTCAGATGAGAATCAACTCCGGTCGCCATGCTGGTCAGACTCGTAACCCTGCAGGAACATTGTAAGTATAACTGGAATCTTGATTGGAATTTAAAATCTTGTATACATGTGGACTTGCCTCGGTTATATTGACAAATTCCTATAAACATGTTACATGTAACCGACCTGGTCCATGGCAGAATTTTGGAAGAACAGGATAAGGGCAGAGCTAGCTAGCACATGGTAACAAAAGTAATAGAGTCAATATGTAAATGTTAAAAAAAAAACTGAATCTGGTTTCACAGAGACGCAAATACATGATTTGGTATTTTAATGGTCAAAGGAAACATTTGACAATTTTAGCAAGCGCAAGTGTGAAAAGCAAGTCTAAATGCAGACACGACAAATAAATACAGCACTTACCAAATGCACTGAGCACGATGTTTTCACGACGACACAGATCCTCACGGCTGCAGAGTCAGTACTGACAGAAACAGAGCAGTCAGGAACGCGTTTATATATGGACTGAGTGGGTGGATAAAACCGGTCCGGTGGGTTTTGCTTGATTACGAAACATAGGAAAGTATTTTTTACATGTGTCGATTTGCATAAAAGAACACACTTGTGGGTACGCGGAGAATCCTGCTTTCCATGCCCACTCTCTCCCTCCTCTTGTTTCAGGTGAGATTCAGATTTGGTCGCCATGTTTGTCAAACTGCTGATCCTAGAGGAATAACGTAAAATTCAATATGTTGAATGAATGGAATTGACAATGCACAATGACAAATGCGTAATGCGTAATGTTATTTATGCGCAATTTTATTGGTTAATCAACACCAGTTGCGACTGATTTGCATGATGGCAGAGTTTTTGAAGGAAATGATAGGAGCACAGCTAGCACAGCGAACATTGTATCAAGTAAGTCAAAATCACGGTGGACGACGTAAATGACATCGGTTCTATGCAGACACATACACGTCTTCAAACACAAATTTTGGTATGCTACATATAATAATCAAAGAAAACGTTTGGCCATTTTAGCATGGGCAAGAATAAAAAGTGAGTCCGAAATTTATAGACACGAAGAATTTTTGTCGCCGTAAGGTTTTCAATGCAACCTTTAAACGGCCGTAGTCTAAGACAAATAAATACAGGAAAATGAAATCACTTACCAAGATGCACAGACGCTCCAAAATACTGCACGGTGTTTTCACGACGACACAGATCCTCACGGCTGCAGAGTCAGTACTGACAGAAATAGAGCAGTCAGGGACGCGTTTTATATAGGGACTGAGTGGGTGGATAAAACCGGTCCGGTGGGTTATACTTGATTACGAGATAAAGGAAAGTATCTTGTTACATCTGTCGATTTGCATAGGGGGGAATCAGACAACACCATTAGAATATTAATTAGACAATAACAACATGCATATTATTTTTTCTATTTTATTGTTGAAACTGAGATCAAAGTGACGATTGTCTGCATACAATGGGGCTGTTGAATCAATGCCTTGTAGCTCTAACTTATTTTGCACACAATACAAAACACGTCAGGTGGTTGAACAACGACTTTGAAGAGATTTTGTCTGGCGCGTCTGACCAAGAATTAAAATTTAGAGTCGATAAATGCTTAAGACTGAACATCCATTTCAGAATAAATGTCTTATAGGTTGTAAGCTTACGTGTTCAAATTACACGTGTATACAAGTATACATAAAATCCATTGTGAGTAAAAAGAAATCTATTTTTTCACTCTCTATAGTACCAGCATAAGGCCACACCAGGTAGATTTTATGGATGGCGTCCTTTGGAGACCCTAAATCTAATGCGAGAGGGCAAAAAAAAAAACACAAGAAGGGCCCTATAAACAAGATGCCTGGATTAGAAATATACTAAGAGACGACAAATGTTGGGACACAAATTGAATGAGGTGACACAGTGTAACAAGCAAGAGGTCTTTTATTCATCATCAGTACAACAATAAATCAGGTGGAACAGCAGTTGTCGTCCTGTCCTGTTTTCTGTTATTGGCAGGATGGTCCTGTCAATAGACACTTTCTTTCGGCGTTACGGGTTTCACGTCAATCTGGCGATTTGCGGCACTGTCGTGACTCTTTGGTCATAGTTACAGGAAGCGGAATTTCTTGTTTTGTTTTCTAGGAACAGGCCAAAATCAATGCGCGCGCGGACGTCATCCATAAAATTTACTTGGTGTGGCCTAAACAGAAGTACTAATGATTGCTAAGCAAGGAATTACAACTGGAAACGTTTTGTATATTTTATATATATTAAGCTTGAGTAAATAAGCTCATAAGTAAATAAGACATCCTGAACCACGGCGCATACTCCATCGTCTCAAGAGACGAAAGGATGCCAACACACTTTTAAATAAGCTCGTATTTACAATGTATATTGTAAAGCGCCGAACATCTATGAATGAATGAATGAAATAGAGTTTGTGTCTCTTGTATTTCTTGTAGATTGGTGGGGAGGGTGGACCCTCTACATCAGAGCGTACTTCCAACAGAACCCAGACACCGCCGCGGGTTTGGAAGAACGTTACCCGGACAATGAGGTTGTGATGACCCTGCTGGAAGACAGGTTCTTCTGGCCGTTTGTGTGTTGGTACTGGAAAATGTACAATGATCTCCCACACACCCTGGACAGGGCTGTCGGCTACGGCATAGAATACGGCATTACAAGTGAGTACATGGAGTCACATGGTCTGTCCGCATACAGCGAGGTCTTTTCTTCCATGTTGAACGCTTTGGAGGCACTGAAGAACAAAACGGAGGGACTTCCAAAGAATGGCAACGTGCAGTTGTTGTTGGACACTGACGTTGAAGCCCTGGTAAAACTTTTCCCGTATCTGAAAGGAATTGCAGATCTCAATTTTATCAACTGCAGGCTTTCTGCCGACGCGGCAACGGTATTGGCTGGACAGCTACACGTACTGGACACGCTGAAAGACTTAGTTCTCACGTATAATACGATAGGAGATGAAGGGGTGGAAGCCATTGCAGAGACCTTTCCTCACTTGAAAGAGCTCCAAGTTTTGAACATTGCCAGCACCTCAATAACAGACGTGGGAGGAAGAGCCATGGCCAACAGGCTGGTTCACCTGCAGCAGCTAAGGAGACTCTACTTGTTTGAAAACGAGCTGGCGCTCAGCGTCTCTGCGCTGGCAAAGGCGTTTGCCAACATGACACGACTGGAGTACTAGTATGTCAGCATGTGGCCCATCACGTGCAATTCCACGTCTCTCCGCATGGCGGCGCGACGGGTACGAGACGCTGTCCACACACTTGCAGGACAAGTGAGACTCCCCGGGCGCTATCAGCTACCAGTACATGGTGGCGCTAGTCACAAACAAGGTAGTACACAGGCACTGGAGACTGCATGGCAACGAGTTGAAAATAAACTAACATCAGGAGTAATCATATCGAACAGACAGTTGAAGATAGAAATCAAGCTGTTGGAACATAGCTAACAAGCGTTAAGTGATATCGATATAATACTGGGCCCAGCCTATACATCGTATCGCGAGGCTTGCATGACTCTGGACATACATACACTTAAACAGCGACGAGACCACCCCACTCTAGACTTCGCTAAGAAACTTGTTAGGCCGTGTTCATGTGAAGTCAGTGAAGGTGCTGACTTCCTCCTGTCGTCTCACACTCTTATGAAATATTTGTCGTCACGTATTGAGTCTGACTCAGCGAGGATTTTTAGAGCTGTGGTAATCCGCGTTAGGTTTCGGTTTCGGTCCGCTATGACTCATTGGCCCGAACAGGCACTTTCATTATCAATCAGCGAGGGGAGTCATGCAACATAGTGATGCCTATATGTGTCATGCATCGTCGTACTAAGTAGACTGTGACTGATTAGTGATATCATAATCATATTGAAGATAGATAAGACGCTGCAAAACACACCCCTGTATGCTTAACGTCTTGCACATTTTGGAAGCTTAGTTCTTATACCACCCCTCCTGAAATAGTGGTATGAGCCGGTGGAAAGTCACCTGACGTAATTAAGTAAACAATAGAAAGCGGGAAACTCGGAAAGTACCAGTCGGTTGAGGTCGTTCCATTTTGAGCGTTATGGGGGTTGTGTTCCCTCTTTCCGTCAACTAAATAATCATAAATGATGATTTGGGCACTAATTTCGCAGACGTAATTTCGAGGTAGCTACGTATACGGTATTTAAAGTTTTATATTGAAAAATTACATTTTACATTCGTTGTCGTGTAAGTACATTATTATGAGTACAACCTCTGCCCCATATTAGTATATCATTGGCATCGCCTTATTTCAGGAAACGACACTTGCATTTATCAGTCACACAGTCACTAGTTTCGGCAACGGCAACTTGCTCATTTTCGCAACATTACCTGCTGTATTTTTACCCTTTTCTGCAAAATGCCTGCGGGTGACGGCATCTGGCAGCTTTTCATCAAAGGTGTGAGTGGTAAGACAACAATTGTGACGATCCACAAGGTATGTATAGTTTTCGTTTCATGGTGCAATAATACAATTGGAAGGAGAGGCTGAAGTAAAAGCAAAAGTAAAAGTAAGCTATACTGTGTCTATTTATATCATGTAAAAGACGGTCTTTTCATACAAGTTTGCAATTGTTTTTAAGATTGAACAAGACTGGCAATGAAAACATACATTGCCATGGCGACTGTGGTTGCTGTTAGGATTATTGTTTGCATGGCACTGCCATCATTTCATGATTTTGAGGAAGACTTGGTATCTGTTAAGTCTATAGACAGATACAGTGCACTCCTCCCCTGAGTGTATAGTGAACGAGCCCCAGGGTCCCAGAAAGTATGACCATCCAGGGCAGACAGGTCTTCCCAAGGGTTTCCAGGAATGTGGGCATAGATGTGGGTCAGAGACATGCCTGTGGACATTCCATTCCTGTGGACAAAATGCCTGTAACATTCCTAAAATTGTTGCAAACTGCACACAATACTATACCATTAGGCTCCTCCCTGAGACGTCGCCAAAAATACGCTGATTGGCACAGGACACATGTACACTGCATGGAATAGACGCGTAAATTAAAATACCAGATAAGTATCGTAATAAAAAGAGAAACGACGGCACTCACGAAATCGAGGCTCGTTTCACGCGCAATGGTTGACGGGTAGAACTTTTGGCGGCAATATAATGTTCTCCCTTCTATGGTTTTGTTCTACACTGTTTGGCTCTTCGTAATATACTACCTTAACGACTTTCTGAGTTGGCTTGTTTCTTTGAAATGTTGTTCCAAAATGTCAGGCCACTCCAATTAAATTTCTTGGTACTGGGAATTTTTTCCAGAAAACTATTAGAGTGGATACGATAAAACATGTAGACTGTGAAAGACCCCAACGATTCCACTGTGCAGAATCACGTAATGAATGAATAAATTATTGGGACCTAATTATCCACAGAACAACTAATGTTAGCATGAAAGTTCATCTGTGTTGGTATACTTCATTTTGACAAAAAGGGTTAAACGTTCTTGCTAACACTGAGTAAATTGAGGCTTACCCAAATTTTCGGCCCACTCCGTCAGCCTTCTTCACGGGACGTGACGTCGGAAACACGTTTGCTGCGATCACGTGTTTCTGACGTCACGTCCCGGAAGCTGCAATAGAAGGGCATTTTTGTCATTAAAAAAAAACTTTTCGAATTCTGTAAATCGTACAAAGTAGCTGCAAAATGAGCAAATGTATGCCGTAAATTGAAAAAAAATATTGGAAAATTATACTTATGTCGCAGAATGCCAAAATCTATTCCAAGGAACAAGAAAAATATAAATGAATGAAAATGCCAATAAAATATTACTCTGTGAACTTAGTCATTTGTTTAACCTTCATGACCACCTAGACTTCATTTTTTGGCCAAACTTTTTTTTTTTTCATTCACATGCTCGCGTCAGTTTTGGGGTTCCCAGAAGATGTCATCCATATAACCAAATTAGCATGGCTTAATTTACTATTTCTGCAAAGATGGATTAATAAAGGGTTAATGCCCCGCCCCTAGGTGTATATGGTAAGATAATCCCTGGTCATATGTGATAACCACCTCATAACTACCAAGTGAGCTTTGTTATCATATAGCCTATCCTACTGACAGGTTATTTCACACAAATTACTTCATAAGATTCCTACATTTGCCGAAAAAACTCCCACATTCTATATCATGTGAAACAAAATGGCATGGACAGAAAAGCATATCATCTAGGCAATCTAGGCAATTTTAAATTTCATTTATGTATTTTGAAATATATTATTCAAAATAAACTGCAATGCGTTTTAGTTGATAAATACTACAGGTCTCATCACTACTGTTAGTGCCCTGTCTTCTGTCTTCTTCATGGTACGGTCCATAAAGTGGTCGGTTTTTTTAATAACCGACCAGTTTCGAGGTTACGGCCTAATAACCAATGGGGAATGGAGCCCTATGATTGGTTAACGTCTTCTGGCCATATGATTTTTTTACCTCAATGTAATCCTTCAGATCACCCACAAGAGCATTAAAATGTCCACCTATAATCACCTTGCTATATATGGTTATAAATAAGCTATTCGAGCACGTCAAATATATCATATGACCTGTTGGATGAGTTACATCGTATACCGCTTTGGGTGGCGCTATTCATGATCATTAGCTTACCAACAAATACCGACATTGCATTACACATGAAAGCCAATGCTGAATGTTAAATCAGATATTTTGTTCTTAAATGCTGTGCAGGACGCCACAGTGGACGAGTTGATCAACAAAATCAGTGAGATGAATAAAATTCCTGCGGAAACCCAGCGCGTCCTCTACGCATCCAAACAGCTTGAGTATGGTCAGAACAAGTATCTGTCGGACTACAACATGGAGGATGAGTCCACTCTCTTCGTCGTGCTGCGCCTCAGGGGTGGAAGCAACACCGTCACGGCGGTCTGTCACTACGGCATTCTTTCCCATTGCTAGGCGCGTTCGAAAAGGAATCAGGTTACAAGACGCTATTTTGGCCTGTTTTGGCCTACCCGTGGAATATCTGAAACTAAACAAATAATATTTAGTGGTAAATTTCGTCAAACCGAAATGAAATTATCGTCTTAACATCCTTTTAATGTTAGCTTTTTATGTCAAATCACTGATTTTTTAAAAATTTCGCTCAGAAAGACGATTATTTTCGGGTTTCCGAGAACAAGTCATGTCATTATTTTAGGCAAACATCGTTCAAACCTGGCTACGTGTATTGTCCCAGATTCCCGATTTTTGTATTTTTCGACGACTAGAAATAAGATCAAAAATCGTGTTTTAGGGATTTTTTAATTTCGAATTTTAAGTCTAGTTTTTGTCGACATATTGGTGAAAAAATTGCATTTTTGGACATTTTTCTCACTAAATTACCCATAATTCAAAATTAAGGCCATAATTCAAAAATCCCTAAAACACGATTTTCGGGACAACCGTAAAAGTCATTTTGAGCCGCAACTGGAGTATGTTTGACTCTCCATGTTTCCAGGTTTGAACGAGTTTTGCAGACATGTCATATCTCTCAAAAGTGTGTATTGTGTTATTGACACAGGTGTAAAGAATCATAACAGTATTCAAGGTCACCCAAGGATACGACAGTAGCTTCTCTACATGTTACATGTCCACAAAAAATGATAGCGGACTTGTACTGTCCAGGAAACTGTTTTTATCTATAGAAAAGTGTTGTTTTTTATCTGTTGCGAGGCACTCAGGCAGAAGGGCTTGTTTTGCCGCTTTCTTGTAAATGACCGCAGGTGACCCCGAAATGGAACGCGGGTTCGATTCGAATTGCCCTGATCGAACACGATCGAACACTGTTCGGATTCTATGAAATGTGGGAACTTTGCAGCCCAGATTTGACCACCGTGCGTGGAGGACTTGTCCCCTCCGCCGAAGCAACTGGACGAGGACGTGGAGACCACCGAGGCTCCTGACATGATCAGCTGGGAGGATGACCCCAACACGCCCCGAGCCAAGATGTCCTGTGGGCACGCAATCACCCCCGAGACACTCACCACGTTTTGCGAGAGTCTGCTGAGGTATGTGTCTCTCAATTATGCTTTGACTGTAGTGTGATGCGTCCGCCATTTTGTTAGTCACTTTTCTTGCTTATCTATCTTAAGGTGTTCAGAGGTCTAGGCCTCAATCCCAATAGGATAAAATTGTCCGGATCGAGCCGAATTGATTCTGTTTGATCCGGCTTTGATCCTGCTTCGAACCGGATTGGAGCCAGATGGAAGCCGGGTCAAACCGAATCAATTCGGTTCGATATTATCCTAGTGGGAATGTGGCCCTAGATTGACATATGGTTTAAGTAAATATTGCTTCACAGTCATTTTTCTCTCAGTTCATTTCTTACGGGTACGGAAGTATTGTTTTGAATGCCTGTGCGCTTCGTGTCCTAACAGTATGTTGACGTTAGGGCGGGAGGGAAGATCGATTGACAAGTGACATAACAGGAGGTAAGAAGAGTCTGTCAGGGGAAATGGAGGAATCTTTTCTGAAGACAGCAGGAATAGGTCCTGACCTAAGTACGTCATATTATCCCCCAGAAGTCTGAAATATCTTATCTTCAGTGCAGGAAAGTACGTCTTCAAGTGCCCTTACATCAGCCCAGGTGGGACGTACTGTGGCAAGGAGTGGACCTATCTGGAGGTCCGTCGTCTCGCCGTCCTCATGGCGGACGAAAAGAAGCAGTTCGAGACCAAAATCTCCGACAACTACCTGCGCAAGGGGATGGGAATCCAGGAGTGCCCCAAGTGCCACTCCCTCTGTGAGCGCATCAACAAGAAGCACAAGCGCGTGGTGTGTCCCCTGTGCTCGGCCTCTGACGGCGTGGAGTTCCACTTCTGCTGGCACTGCCTCCACCAGTGGGTCGGAGGAGGCATCGAGAAGTGCGGCAATGACAGCTGCGGCGGTGAAGACCCGCGTCTTAAGATCCTCCGCGACTGCAAGAAGAAGACCATCGTGGGCGTGGCTAACTGTCCTGCCGTCAGGGCCTGCCTGAAGTGCGGCATGCTTATTGAGCATGAGAAGGCCTGCAAGCACATGGTACGGTGTTCTAACTTACCGTATTCACTTCCATATCTACGTAATACAGAACAATTCAACAGATTGGATATATTTTCTGAAGAGGCCGGAGATTTAGACACGGTCCACTATGCATATCTTCCATTGAACAAAACTGCACAATTCAGTAATGTTGCATCGTTTTTGCAAATAGGACCTCCCGCGTTTGTATAAAGGCTGTTAACTGTTATATGCCCCAGGCCTTTCTGGTAGGCATTTTTGTCCCCAAGAAAGTCTCTTTTGACTCCTCCTACGGATGAACTTTCAGTCATGTTTGACTCACTGATTGTCCGTTATTCCTCCTATTTCCAGGATTGTGTCTGCGGTCAGAAGTTCTGCTTCATCTGCCTGAAGCCCGCCGTGAACGGACACTACCAGTGCGGCATGTACAACAGTCCGTGCGAGGTCGCTGACGTGCAGAAAACCATCCCTGCAGACAACTAAAACGGATTCCGACCCTGCTGGCAGAATAGAAGTAAACTAGAAAGGCCAATATTTGCTTTGGAGCAAATACAGCGATGGGTTCACCACATTTTACGACATGGCAGGGAAAGAATGAGAAACACAAGGGAAAACAATGATTTACATTGATATAACTATAATATGAAGTAAAATACAACTAAAACAACAGTTGGATAGCTATTCCCTACTTTATTGGTTAGGATTTTTAATTGCATAATGCAAACTGTTGATTTTCAAAATAAAAAAAAAAACGTCCATGCCCCGCATTCCAATGCTGGAGCAGGAAAGCTTGAAATACCTACCAAAACACTTGAATACAGACATACTGTCAGTATGGAAATGCTCTGTGCAGGTGTTAATCAAGTTAAATCCCAACAGCCAATCAGCAAGAAATGCTCTGTGCAGGTGGAAATGCTCTGTGCAGGTGTTAATCAAGTTAAATCCCAACAGCCAATCAGCAAGAAGTATAGAGGAAAGCTGCATGCCTATTGGTTGATGCCCTGCATTCCATTGTGATGACTCATGCCAAACGTGGTAAACAAGGCACACTAACACAGTAATACATTTGCTATAACACAGCCAAAAAACTCAAATAAAACCATTCTAAAAGCCTGTATCACAATAATTTAAAAAACGCCTAGGGGTATTTGCCCACTGTACCTCCATACCAAATTTCAGGACCTTGGGCCCTAAAATGAAGAAGCTGAATCCATTTAAAAAATGGCAGGAGAAGGAGGAGAAGAAGAAACATCAGAAAAAGCAATATGGGTTCACCACCACTTCGTGGTGTGGTGAACCCATAATAAATTGATACAACCAATAGCAGACAAAAGGCTAAATAACGGATAATTTGCGATATTTGCCTCATAATGTTGTTTCTAAAAGTCCGACGCCTTTAATGATTGGTATTTTCTTAGCATACATACAAAATATGTATGCATTTGGACTAAAAAAATGATCCAGATTGAGCATCAAATAGTTTTTAAAAATTATTTATCTGGATTAAGATATCGAATCTGAGTTTCTTTAACGATTTCGTAGGTACGCCGACAGAGCGAGGCCGAAGGGCCGCTAAGAAAACTAGGCCGGGAACTTCATTGCCCTAGTGCATAAATATACTGTTATTCCTTGGCAAGTAATGGGAATTTCATTCTAGTGATGTAAGTACTAACCGAAAGGGAAATTTACCATGCATCGACGCCAAAATCTACCTTATGCATGCAATGCATTCAATCTACCTAATTTTATGGTTAAAGGATAGGGCTTTTACACATGGTTTGGACATCTATTATTACCTCAATGATATGTCATGGAGGTTATATTTATCTCAAAGAAAAATGGAGGTATTGTTTTTGGCGCGTCTGTGTGTGTGAGAGAGTTTCCGAACACACACGTTTGATAACTTCATAACGCCTTTATGGATTGTGATAATATTTAGTATGCTGGTAAGTCTTAGGAAATTAAAGGTCAAGGTCAAATATGGGCCTCCTGGTGGATGACCTTAGTACTGCAGCAGAACTTGAAGCAGCTTGTTCTGGAACTGCAGGGGACTTTCGGGTAAAATCTTTAAAAGCCAATAAGTCCAAATAGGTACAACGTATTTTCATGATTTTTGGTATGTAGGTAGCTGAAATAGAGTTGTCCATAATTAAATGCAAATTATTAAAATAATGACTTAACTTGCATAGTTAATGAGGAAATTCTATAATTCCAGTGTTTTATATAATAATACTGCTATACATGGAATCTATTTAATCTGTGGCAGGCAGAACATCAACAGATACCAATTATGCAAATGGTGACGTAATTTACAAAATTAATGTAAAAATTCTGTGACTCCTTATTGGTGAATGATGGGAATTTTATAACTTGAGACATATGTAAGTTACTTAAAGGTTAACACTGCTATGCATATATTATGTTAATTTAGAGGTCATTTGCATAAATACGAGTACATGTTGAAATGAAGCTTGACAAAGGAAATAAATTCCACACAAAAATGTTGTCATTTGAATTTAAAAAACATGAATAAAACTAGATTATGCTTATTACGACCTTATTTCCACAGTCAATGAGACAAATAAAAAAAAACATTTACAAAAACTCACATATTTCATGGAGGTATGAGATCTTCGCATTCTTGTTTCAGTTGCGTTTGTCTGTCTGTCCGGCTGGATGGATTGATTTCATACTTGGTGTGTTTGTAGGGTGTGGCAAAAACTGGAAATGATTAAATTTATTTTCGGTCCCCTGGCGGCTTTCCTTGGTACTGCAGTGCAATCTAGACATGTTAGGGTCATGCATTTTGGATAGTAGGTAGTTCTTGTCCGGGAAGAACTCACTTGAGTTTTTACTCCCTAGCAGCTTGTCCTTGAACTGCAGGATTGTTTGTTTGAATAATTTTCGAGAGAGGATAACTAAACAACCATTTGACGGGTCGTCGTGATCTTTGGTAGTTATGTAACTTGTGTGATGCTTGACACAATTAAACTGCAATTATGCAAATCAGGATCCAATTTTCATAATTATTGTGGAAATTCTATAAATCTGCTGTATTCCATATTTATTAGGGCTATGAAACACTTTGGACATATGTAATTGAGACATATGTCATTGGCAGATATTTATTATGAAAATGAAGACCTAATTTGGCATTTACAGATATTAATTATGAAAATGAAAACCTAATTTGCACAATTAATGGCTAATCGGTACATTTTTATGTTGGTAACTGCTGGGAATATAATAGTCGCCAGTTTTTGCATTAAGCCATGTCACAAATGAATATCGACTCTTATTATAATACGGTTAGGACAATAGGCTGGATGAATGATCCCTTTTTGGTCAGGTAGCTAAAAACATTAACAATGTGTGCGTTTGTTTAAGTCAATTTGAAATTTTCTACAGCTCACCTCTAAGAACATGGTATATATACACAGTGTATGACGAAGCCATCAAATTATTATAAAACATAATTAATTCTTATCAATAAGAATTCTATTAAAACGCAATGTTGTTACAAAGCACTTAATATAAACATCTTTTTAAACAGAAATTACTAGATTGGCAACATGAAAAAATGAAATCATTGATAAGAAATCGTTGTTGACTTATATATTACCTACTGCACAAATATATTACATGGAGTGTAACTTGAACCATTGGCATCTCAATATATTACTAAGTTTCTAAGTCAAAGTTGTAAAAATACAGTAAAATTGATGTTGCTTTAGGTTCCGGGTCGGAGTTTCCAAATAGTGCACAGTAAAACGCCGGATCTGCGAGGTTGTCACGCTAAGTTTGGCTCGCCATAGCTCGGTGATCGTTGTAGATTTTCAAATAGGTTTTGAATTGATAAAAAAACTTGTGATTGTAGTGTTTTTCGGCGTGGTAAAGTTGGACGGCAAGCGAAGCCTTTTTTGTATTAGTCCGCGAGCAAGGGTGATGCGGTTTGTCGCCTGATGACCCAAATAGCTGCGTTCTATGTGGAATTTTAAAGCTCTCGCGTCACCGGATTTTGCGAAAAACTTATCGCAACAACCTTTTGCCCCCGTTTTTCAGAAACAGGAAGTAGTAAGCTATTTCAGCATATAAGCCGTTAGCCTGGAAAAATTTGTTTTTCAGGCAGGTCCGTTGCATAGCATAAGCATATTGTCACCAATTATAGTCACTAAGTACAATGGCATCATCGCAAGAATACGTTAAAATACTTATTACAATGAATATTTATGCAAAGGTTGAATGTGGTACGTAATTTAATGTAATTCAACTATCCACCTCCACACGCCAGCAAAATTATATCAGATACAGTATAATAATACAAAGTGGTAGGCAACTACAGACAAAGACTGCTACAGGATCCGAAATAAGAATTCTCAAAGGGCACTCTCTTGCATCGGAGAGAGGGGTGCAGCTTCATGGCGTGAGATCTCGTTATACGATGGTGGTACACTAGGACCTTTCTTCTGGTACGAGCCAATTTCTTCCGGTTCGAATCTAAGCGCCCCACGGTCTGGAATCTTCGATTTCAGCGTCGCCTTGAATCGCTGAATTATATGAAAGACAAGTAATATTTCATTTATCACGTTTAAGATTCTTCAATATAGAGCTTTGACAATGTAGGCACCATAATAAAATCATACACAATGTGTCCATGACTTACATATTATAGAACAGTAAAATGCACAGTACGTAATGGATATACACAAGAAAATAGTTACTCGAGGAGATGACTCGACTTACAAAACTGCCAGACTATTCAAGTAGCATCCAAGTTACTTCGTCAGAAACTGATTTTGTCAGTGGATGCAATTTAAGACGTCTGACAGTTTTTAAAATCCATACAGTTGCTTAAGTAACAGTTTTCTTGTGTATCTCATTACCTTCCTTGATATATAGAATTTCACGTCAAGCATGGCACCAAAGACACATAATAAAACAACTGTTCTTGGCTGTAAATTAGCAGTTGATAAACTCTAAACTACAATTGACAGAATAGCCAGTGCATTTCTCTTTACAGTTCAATCCATCGTCGTTTGTCTCCTGCTAAGTCTCTACGATATTTTAGTACTGATATATATAGTGGGGTCATGAGGTCGCGGGTTCGAACCCTGCTCATGTCACCGATCTTTTGCCCTTGGCGAAGGCACTTTACACGAGTTTCCTCACTTTACTCAGGTGGAAATGAGTACCTAGCTTCGGTTAGGGACGTCCCTCGGATAGGACGTTAAATGGATGCCCCGTGTTTGGGAGGGCCACTCCCTATGCAAATTAAAGAACCCACCGCACTTATCGAAAAGAGTAGGGGATCTTCCCGGTGTGAGTGGTTCAAAACTTTACAGTCCGGTCTTACGCAGCTTGTACATGTATGCACATGTACAAAACTGGTGTGTTACGCCTAAAGGCGGTTTACCGGTTATGCGAAACAAATAGTACGTGAGACACATAAAGCAGGACAGTTCATAATATATGTATATAATGTTATGGGCCTCAGTAACAATTCTTCAATTCCTACCTGCACAAAGCCTCCTTTTTCCTTCAACAGTGCATGGATGGCCCCGATTGGTATACTGATAATTGAAAGTGACGCAATGACCCAGCCAATAGCCTGCCCCCATCCCGGGTAGTAGTAGTCGCCATACCTTACAGGGGTGTACTGGATGAATCCAAAGATCATGATACCCTGAAAAAAGTCATATCAGATGGCCCGTACGTTTTGGTGACTATAAACTGATAACAATCATTATGTACAACGAAGGAAACTGTATTGTTTTTGTTCTGTTTCCTCTTCTTCTTCTTCTCCAAAGCAATAAGGTCAATGACCTGAACCAGACGTCTGTCACCATGGTAACTAGTGCTGAGTTACAGCATGTTGCAATTTTATAGCAGGAGGGATATATGTATATGAATATGTTTCAGTAAGAATTAAAAGAGCAGACCATATGCGAAGGTAAACATTGTGCATTTGCCTTGAAAATGTTACCTTTCCAGTATATAGTTATATTCCAAAAGGAAGAAATAAGATTAACTTTTACCAAAATGAAGGAAAAATACATGCATTATTATTAATCAACAAGAAACAACTATTGAAATATGTCAGAGCACTTACTCCAATTAGTACCGGAGACAGTCCGTACCAGCAAACGATAAAGTACAGCCAAGGTTTGTTTCCTGTCATCTCTTCTATATTTCGGGCAAGCCTGTTGCCACCTGAAAATAATGATATAATAATCATTATTCGGAGCTCTTCTGCGGAGGTAAAGAATTTTTTTCATTATTTAATCTGTATTTATTTAATATTCGTATTTAAAGTTATTTAATGGTCGTAAAACCATATTTTTTTCATGGGGTATTATTTTGATTCTTTTCTTTCATGTTTTTTGTTGTACGTATGCTTTGGATCCGTGTTATATGTATATCTTTTGTGCTATTGTACTTTTTGGTTATTTTGTAAAATAAGCAATTAAGGAAAATAATAAAATTCATTTTGTATTCCTTTAGTATGGAAAAAGAGCTTGGAATTTTGAATGTTTAATTCTAGTGCCGTATGATAACTTACCGTATATCCACGAGATGGCGATAACTTCGAACAGTGCGATGATCATGATTGAGATGGCCGCAGCGTAGAAATCTACCAGCTGGAAGAAGTACATCCCACCCTGGAAAATACACAATAACTAATACGTCTACATGCCAAAAAGTAGTTGTTGAGAATGTGTCTAAGAATAAATGGGCGTAAGAATAAATAAGACTTAGGACCTTTATTGTTTATTTTGTATATTAATGATTTACCTTCAGTTGTCTCCTCTGTATGTAAAGTCTGTCTCTATGCCGATGACACGGCTATCTTCTGCTCAAGCAAGGATGCGGGGTTCATAGAGAACACCTTAAACGTAGAACTACAAAACCTGGCCACATGGTTCCAATCAAATCGTCTAACACTGAATGTTGATAAGACTAAATGGATCCTATTCGGCACTATAGTGGCAAACTGAAGGCTACACCACCTCTTAAGATCCAGATCGCACACGAAATTGTAGAGCAAGTGTATGAATTTAAATACTTGGGTGTTCTCCTTGACTGTAGGATCACTTGGAATGAACACATTGATATGGTATGTTCTAAAGTTTCCCGTAGAATAGGTTTGTTAAGGTGCCTTAGGTTCTGCTTAAACGTCAACATTGCTCGCATGTTATACTGTTCTTTGATTTTACCACTGTTCGATTATTGTGACACTGTGTGGGATAACTGCAGCACCACCAAACAGCGACAACTACAAGTCCTCCAGAACAGAGCTGCCAGGGTCGTCCTACGGATGCATCAAAGACCCAGTGTCCAGGACCTGCACACCAGACTCAACTGGAAATACCTGACCCAACGGAGAAAGGACCACATTTGTGTCATGGTTTTTAAATGTATCAACGGGCTTGTCCCAACATACTTGGATGCCACATTTGTACATAACCACCGGCTACACAACTACAACACCAGACAGACCTCACTACTGCACAAACCTAACTACACAACTACAGCTGGTCACCGCACATTTGCATTCCGTGGCACGACACACTTTAATACACTTCCATCAGACCTAAGACATGTACCTACACTATCACAGTTTAAAGCAGGCTTGAAACATATGTCATATGAAACCTGACCTCTGACCTCCATTCCTTGATTTTCGTGCTTTTGACCTTGAACGGCTAGGATTTTGAGTATTGGACTACGACTCTGTTTTAACGAATCGGACTTTTATGTTTACTGTATGTTGTCTTACTGTACGTTACTATGTCCTGTGTAATTTTGCTGGGCCCCCTTGGAAAACAGCTGATTCAAGCTGAATTGGGGCTACCCAGCCGTCTTGAGATGAAATAAATAAATAAATAAATAAATAAATGGGAGTGGAAACTTGGAAGACAATGTAAATATCTTAGCACTTAGCTGAGAAAAATATTATGCTTTTCCAAGCTACGGGTTATTGTGTTCATCTTTATCATATTATGCATCCGTATTTAATCCGGTGAGGTACACTTAATAAAGTTACTCCAATACATCCTGCCCCTCATGATGGGCACTGGAGTAGTCCCTGCGAGACCAGCGTCTTTCTCTAACATTGACAAAAGTGCAGTATATGGTCGTCCCACTCTATGCATTCTAGTGGGAAGCCACTGTACTAGTCTACCAGCTGGTTTGTTACTACGAACAACATGCCCTGCCAGGGTGAGCCTACGTTGTCGCACTACAGAGTAAATGGGCGGAAGAGAGTCATAGAGTTGTTTGTTAAATGTTGTCTCCATTAAACATTATACAATGTTCTTAACATTCTTGTGTATGTACCAGTTATTGTGTTACAGGACACATAGTTGCTAGAAATGTACATCATTTTACAATTATCTTACCTGTGTGATGTTGGGGAGCCCAAGCAGGTACGACACACAGCACACGACGAGGACCAACACTTCTTTCCTCTTCAGGTACTTCCTGATGAATGGATGGAAGTGGTCGTACAAGGTGGTGATGATCACCTCCACTGTACAAAACTGGGGAGACATCGTCGATGAAGGTTAGACATCCAGGTAATACGATACGCCAAAAAGCAGTTACTCAAGCAACTGGATATGATTTTGAAAACGTCAGACGTTTCAGCTAGTATCCACTAGCTTTCGTGAGTGACTATGAGACCAGAGGGGAAATGCAGGTTTATAAGCACAACCTATTGATTTATATGGAAATCAATAGGTTGTGCTTATAAACCTGCATTTCCCCTCTGGTCTCATAGTCACTGACGAAAGCTAGTGGATACTAGCTGAAACGTCTGACGTTTTCAAAATCATATCCAGTTGCTTGAGTAACTGTTTTTTGGCGTGGGGAGACATCTCACATAAGTACGGTGTGATAATGGCGGTTTTATTTGTGTGTCACTGTGGACACCCAAAAACTGGATTTGCCCTTATCTTCACTATTTAACTGGTTCTGCATTATGCTGGGTCAAACAGTTAGTTACAATTATATCAATCAGTGTTACAGCTAGAATCATCCTTGTAAGTTCAGCAGTCAACTATACATGCAATTACCAACCAAAAAAGGCAGATACATGTAATGATTCTTCGGTACTACTAAAAACAAGTCATTGCTACAAAGCAATCGCATAATGTTTACCTTCGCATATGGTCTTTGAATCAATTCTTACTCAAACACATTCATACTTATGGTGACAGGAGTCTAAATCAATTTTGCTACAGTAAGTATAAAATTGCAACATGATGTAACCCAACACCAGTTACCATGGTGACAGGCGTCTGGTTCATGGACCTCATTTGTTTGGAGAAGAAGAAGAAGAGAAAACAGAGCAAAAAAAAACATAATAATCTAGATACCTGAGAGTCGATCCCCAAAAGAAGGAGCATGATAAAGAAGAGAATGGCCCAGAGTGGAGACACGGGCATCGTGGCAATGGCCTGGGGGTACACCACAAACGCAAGTCCCGGACCTACATTTGTATGAATAGAAATATTCAGTTGCTGACACAATGAACCTGAAAGTATAACTGTACATAGCATATGTCTTTTCTGTCACAACCAGCACTAGGGGAGTACTAGGGAAGTAAATACAACAGGTTTTTTCCGCATTACAAAGTATCATTTTCGGTTCTACACCTTTTACAGATTCTAATCAATTTTTGCAGGGATTTCACACTATGGCAAATCAAGCATCAGCATACAGAGGATGGTTCACAACTGAACCGGCAAGACAACAGCCGACATCGGCCTTTTTCAATCTTTGACCCAGGTCAACAATATAAACATTGGATAGATTAGGGGACAGGAGGCTTCCTTGTCGAACCCTATTGGAGACACTTAATGAAACGGGTAGACAATGCTGAACCCACTTTACACACGTAGTTTGCTGCTCATACCAATATATATGCTAGGAATCTCACCAGATATACCGGGACATTTCTGGTTTTTGTGTTTACCTTGGGTTGCCACCTCTTCAACAGTAGTGCCCTGTAAGAACGCCATGTAGCCCATGACGGAGAAGATGGCAAATCCCGCCAGGATACTTGTCGCTGAGTTGATACACGCGATCATCAATGTGTCCCTGAGGTTTAATTATAAGGTTAAAGTAGTTAAAAACATTAATCAATCAGTGACTGTTTTGAAAGGTTAAAACACGTGCCTCCAAATCCTCCATGTCGACTGTACATTTTTTTCACGGAGTGACCTTGTCTCGCGAGAACACCTAGTCTCGTCACCTAGTATCGAAAATTGGGAGGTAGGTGTTCCTACCTTTCAAAACAGTCATTGATTAATGAATGTTTGACTGTTAATCTTACGTGACTGATGAACCTCTTCAAGGTTAATTATCGTTTGAATCTGTAGAAGTATAGTAAAGGTAGTCCCAAAGTCCTGTATTCACTATATCTTAGGTGCGGTATTGGTAGACCGAGTCAACCACCTCACACCTACCTGACCGAAATCAGACCCCATTTACACCTGGACACAACATCTGCAGTCAGGAGTCAAACATAAGACCTCTAAGCCCAGTGTCCATTAGCCTAATAAAGTATTTGGTCATCAAAATGTTCCAAAGATTCCCAAGATTTGTTCATTTTCCCAGCCTACAAAAACTTAATTTCTATTAACCCCTCCCTCAATTCATACATCTCGCAAAATGTTGGCCATTTCATACTCCACTGCACACAGAAAAAAATCAAACCCAACAATAACTATATCCAAAGTAGCATTAGCATTAATCATAATCTTTTTACTGTTTATTTCTTTTAACCGTGTCCTTGCAATTAGCCCTCGGGCATGAATTTGCAATTGACTTTCGGTAAGACCTCCAAGTCCAGTGTCAACTAGACCATTGAACCATGAAGCCACATAAAGACAATGTCTTTCAATTAACACCAATGTCGTAAACGAAACGGTTACTCAGCATAATAGATGTAGATTTTATTATACGTTTAGTACTAACAATTGAAAAGAATTATAAAACTAAAATTACTGACAATCATCATCTCACTTGAATACGTTGTTGTTGAACTTGTTGTAGCTGGATAAGGCGATACAACCTCCGTAGGCAATACCGATAGAACCTAAGTTCTGTGCAGCAGCATTGATCCATACCTGAACAGTTAAAATAAGTTTGTAATCTTTGCACGAATGGCTTTGATTCAGTGGGAACATCACATATACACAGCCGCTATCACATATACAGGAAGTGAAATACTTCACTGCATCAAAGTAATATACAAAACATTAAATCAGAGCCTTGTCTTTTCTCGATCATCTCTCCATATAGTTTACTAGTATCTGCCATCCACGTTACGGCATGTCAACAGACATCTTTGCCTCTTTCCGACATGTTGACCTCATTCAGAAAGCAACAAAATTTCTTGTTTCTTCTCCCAAATCAGGCGAAAATTAATGCACGCGATGATGTCATCCAAAAAAATTACTTGCTCTGGCCTTAGGGCATAAAAATGTGGAGAGAACAGGCAACGGGCTCAATGTGTGTCATCTGTATGAAGTGACTAGAGAATACAACAAAGTGAAACTGGCAATGGCAATGTATTTCAGGCCAATGAATGCATACACTTATTTCTATGGATGGGTATTGTACCTGTATTTTTAAGTGTACCAGGTCCTATGAGATTGTTGAAAAAAATAGGTACAAGTCTAAACATGAACCTACATCTAAATAAGTACTGCTCAACTTCATGTGGATACTAGAGCGTTCATATTTCTACAAAACATTCTGGATACATGATATAGGAGTTTTCTTTTACACAACCAAGAAAGACTAACCTTGCTTACGTTTCGGTGTCTATCAGACACCTTCCTCAGAGCTTCTGACAGAAGTTCTGCTTCTCACCGTTATGTGTAACCGATGTAGGTGGCGTTTTTGCGGCGAGAACACAAACGTAGCTGAGTCCCCCCCCCCTCGTCCCGGTCCATCACTGGGGTCGACTTTTGGGATTGTGCCACCAACATCGCCTACATATAGCAGCTAGAATCAGAAGTTCTGACGAACCTGTCTGATAGACACCGAAACGTAAGCAGGGTTAGTCTATCTTGGTTGTGTAAAAGAAAACTCCTGTGCCCTATGCTTTACCAACCTGATGAAACTATCAGTTTCGGAAATACTGGATAGATGTATAAAGTCTTACTGACCTCAGCAGTCCCCAAGAGGTACCATTTGGGCTTGAGGAAGTACAAGATTCCATCCACTGCTCCATCCAGCGTCAAGCCGCGAATCAGGAGGGCGATCAGCACAATGTACGGGAACGTTGCAGTGAAATACACCACCTGTGTGTAAAGTTTAAACCTGTACTTCATAAAACTATCCAAGTTACAGACATACTATCAACTATTATCGAGGCTAACAGACGTGGACACCTTACTTCCCCGCTGAGATGACTGGTAAAGATTTATCAAATGATATATAATCATATATATGCAAAATTTTTCATTGTTCATCAAAAATGGCAACTTTAACACAAAAAGCAGGTGGCAAAATTATTCAACCCCTATACAATTAATTAACTAGGGTTGATTATGGAGAATTACAACTCCTAACACTGTTACCCTACCTTTCCTGTGGATTTCACACCTTTGAAGATACACATATACACGATGACCCAGGCCAGCAGCAGTGTGAGGGACAGGTCCCACTGTGGGGCTCCAAAGTCATCAATCCCGCTACTGATCTCCAGAACATTGTGGCTGCAAACATACAAATACAACATGTTGATATTACAGTATTATGATTACCAGAAAGGTAACATTTGCAAATGCATTAATGTTTACCTTCGCATATGGTCCGCTCTGTCAATTCTTACTCGAACGTATTCATATATATGGAGTCTAAATCCCTCCTGCTATAGAATCGCAACATAATGTATTCCAACACCAGTTACCATGGTGACAGACGTCTGGTTCAGGTCTTTCACCTTATTTGTTCGGAGAAGAAGAAGAGGAGGAGGAAACAGAGGAAATATGTTTTCCTTCGGCAAACGTAGTAATATAATAATATTTCCTGGTGTTTCTTCAAATTTTCTCTTTATCTTTTTTTAATCTGAATCGGTCAACCACTATTACCGCCCTTCCATATGACACACTAGCTCTGCAGGCATGTATCAGTGGCTAGTTTTAACACATTTAACGCCTTGTACTTTTATCAATATTCCATTTGATTGATTTGGATGATTTAGATGATTGGTTGACTGAAAAAGTATATACTAGAAGAACTCGTTGCTGGGTGAAGTGCTGCCGTTGTGAAGAAGCGACCGGTTCAGACCAGTTGTGCAGTTTTCTGTATTCCAGGGGTTACCACAGGTCGCCCAGGGCAATGGGTCCTGTGGAAACAACAGCCGTGCGTTTGATCAACACAATTTCAATATGTCCACCTAGTTTAACCTAGTATTCAGTCTAATCGCTGTTGGGGCATCGTAGTTGGGGCAGGCAGTCTGCCGGTCACTAAAGCCTTGTTCATGTGAAGTCACCCAAACCGCGATTCGGGTAACTCGCATTCAGCACATCTGGTCCACGTGCCATACATTCCTTGCAAACCGTGTCCGATCACGATTCTACGAAACTGCATTCATTGTTGTTTGGTGTAAACACGCAAGGTGGCGTGTTATCAATGTCATGGGTCAACGACCTGCTTGCTGGTGCCCCCCCCCCTCCCAGCGTATCTCGGCCGAATGCCGACGTGGTCCCGCCAGAGGCGGTGAAGCTCGTCCTAGAACGGACATATTATTTGACCATTACTTGTCTTTAAGTTGCGGGCACGTAAAAGTTGGTATTGCATATAAATAAAACAATATCACCCCGTAATCCATGACCAGGCGAAGTTACATTGAAATCACATTGCGTTCAGACGCAAATCGCGATGCGGAAAAACCGATTCGAAACCACCTCTAGAAGTGGTTTGGGATCGAGGCGCTTTCAATGTGATTTGGAGCGTTCAGATGGAGCCACTTGAAACCGGATTGGGGGTAAACCACATGTAAAGCGCCTTCACTGACTTTACATGAACACGGCCTAATAGTTTCCCCCGCCGAAGACAACAGGCCACCCGGTAGGAGTGTTACGCCAATAGAGATGGCACGCCGGGGTGTTGATTTGCCCCACTACGAATCAAACTTCTGCCGTGAAAAACCTACAGGGGGAACCTAGCTCAGGCGGGCGGGGAAGAGCTCCTGCAGCCCCGAGAAAAACCAGCCAAACCGCGATAGACTGGATAACAGGTTAACCTAATTTGCCTTGCATCAAAATGCTTATACATGATAAGGTGACTAGACAACCAAAATGTCAAATCAGACATAATGATAAATTCTTTACATAGAAAAGTGTGACACGTAAAAATAAAGTGGTACCTATACTTTTACACTTTCTTAGACATGACATGATGCCTTCATATAACTCCATCATCAACTTGTCTAAGTCCTAAATATACAAAATAAAGACTGTAATTGCTTTCATTAGTTCATTCTCCTCACCTGGAATGAGTTAAAGAGGTAGTACAGAGCCCAGGTGATGATGACGTTATAGTAGGTGGAGAAGATAAATGTGATCACCACTGTGGCCAATCCAGCTCCTGAAGAAGGTCAAAGGTTACTCACAGCTGTTGAAGATGTCCATCAGTCACGTAAGATTCACAGTTAGTAGAATATTCACCAATCATTGGCCGTTTTTGATAGGTAGAAAACACGTACCTCCAAATTTTCGATGTAAGGAGGCGGTGGAGGTCAGAAGACCCTCACAAGTCTCGAACTAGTCTCGTGTTCTCGCGAGACTAGGTCACTCCGTGATCAAGATGTGCAGTCGACATCGAAAATTTGGAGGTACGTTTTTCTACCTTTAACCCTACCTAGACCGGGGGGGGGGGGCTAAAAGTGCCCGCGGCAACTTTGATGTCACCTAGCGTCTGAACGGCTAGCCGTAAAACGACCAAACTTGGTGACTTTTCCTAAAATATTGTTGGCAACAATTCTCTATCATTGGAATAAGATAATAATTTTTTGTGTTGCCATGGCAACGGGTTTCTGACAGGCATTTTTTGCTAAATTTAGTACTTTTTGTTTCAACAATAGAATTTTATGGGTTTTATGTCAAGTTACTCATGGTTTCTAATATTAATAACATCCCATATAATTTCATGTAAATTTTATCATTAAATATGCATAATTTATGCTAATTTGATGACGTCATTGGCCAAAATCCAAGATGGCGGACCATATCATTAGAACAGGTATATACGGGTTATTTTCATTAAAATTTCATCAATATTTCCATTTCTTCTTACAAAAGAGGTTTGAATGAAGGTGTTTAATATGTTTACAATGTATTTTAGGCTTTATCATGAAAAAACTATTTTTGAAAATTCAAGATTGATGATCCAAGATGGCGGATATCTTAAATATGCATGACGTCATTTTATGACGTCACCGGTGTTGCTATGGGCAACATAAGACTTAGTACACACTAATATTCTGTCATAAACACTTTTGGTAAAGTTATGTTGTATACCAGGGAGGTTTTCAGGGAAAAACCTATTTAGACGGTTTTGGCCAATAAAATCACATTAATGACGTCATAATGACGTCATATTTACGTCATAACGACATAAAAATTGTAGATATGATAAATTTTCACTAGTACACCATTCTCTGAAAATTTGGTGGTCATACGACATACCGTTCGCGAGTTCTTAGGGGGGGGTCAAAGAGCCCCCCCCCGGTCCCCCCACCTGTCAAAAAACGCCCGGTCTAGGTAGGGTTAAAAACAATCACTGATTGACGAATATTCTACTAACTGTTACTAATAGCCACATTGACTGTAATTTCCATCATGCATTGATATATAATGTTCAAAACTTTGTAATGTAGCCTACCCGATTGAAAGGTAATCTGTGTAAAACTTTGAAAAGGCTAAAAGTTGGCGAGTTGATGGTCTATGTGATGATGCGTAATTTTCTGTAATCATGTTTCAATTGTTACACTTCACATTTGAAGTTTTAGTATTGCTACTCTATCATGATCAGTTAGGTTAGTAACTATGTAAATGTACCCTGGTATGTTCCATTCTGCTTTTCTATATATCGATATATATTTAGGATATAGTATAAATTAAGTCCTTTAATTTCGTTTGATGTTTCCAGTTTTTGACTCGGACTAAGATTTATGTTTCTATGATTTCTGTACCTATGTTTATGTTCATGTTTATATTTTGGTGTCTTATATTCATTCATTCATTCATTCATTCATTCATTCATTCATTCATTCATTCATTCATTCATATATGTATAAATATATACGTATATGTAAATACATATATGTATATACGTATCCCCAAGGCGGTTTCGACCACCAGAGCATTGGACAAGGACACGGGGTCATGTTTTCTCATGAAAGGCGGTACGGGGTAGAGCGGTAGTGTGAGACGCTGTAGTGAGATACAGTAGATATGAGGTCACGAATGTAGAAGTAACCGGAGTCGAGCGTGTGCATTGATTCGAGCTCGGTTTAGACCGCCAGAGCATCGGGCAAGGACACGGGGTCATGTCCCATGAAAGGGGGCACAGTGTACATGTAGAGCGGTAGTGGGAGACGCTTTGGTGAGAGAGTCTCTCGAGAGAGAGCCTTGAAGATCATCTCTCTGGGTGGAAGGAGGAATGTTCCCGACCTCCCAACACTCCGAGAAAGACGTGAACTTGCGGCTGTCAAGCTGCTCAAGCGTATGCTCAACCCTGACCACCCACTACATGATTTGGTACCGGGAGCCAGGTCGGACAGCACAGGGAGGTGTTTGAGGAACTCTGGGGGAATCACGGTGCCCAAGGCACGGACAAACAGACTATAACTTGTTCCTCCACTGCACAATCAGACTGTACAATAGCCAAATGCAGACCTACGTGTTCTAGTGTTTCATGTCCCACTTTTGTATGTAATTGCCTTGTGCGTCTCTTGTACTTATGTAAAGTCCACACAATTCAGGAGAACTACGTACCCCTGCTATGTTGACTGTTCTTAATAAAATTGAAAATTGAAATTGAATTGAGAGAGGTATGAGGTCCAGGGTGTAGGAGTGTCCTGAGTGTACGAGTTACGTTTGAACATACTGTTCCAGTTCCGTAGCTTAATAGAGTAGCCGTAAGAAGACTTGGCCTACGAGATCAAGGCATCAAGGCCATAGTCACAGTATAAATAACTTAGAATAGATCATGAGTAGAAGTTAATGCAGGGTATACTATGCTGCATGTGAATGAAGTTTGTTTGGTTATTATGTCTAAATGGGAACGCGTAAATAAGATCAAAGTACAACTGCATCATGAATTCCAAACTGCTGTGCCGTTCGTCGCACTGATGCCGTGGAAATAATGGTAAAATGGCTTTGAAAACTGACACTAGGCACATGTGATACAGTACAGAATTGTTTTCTTTCCCCTGAACTCAGAATGTGGCTTTTTTTATATTTTGCATCCATAAGCAGTCTTGATCAGATGCAAAGTGAGAGTGTAAAATAACAGAAGTATGTGGTGTAATTTATAGCTTGAGTCCAGTCCATTCCACATCGGTCTTGTAACAGGCTTTAATTTGTTTATGAGGATTTACTACATTTGTGGAAGGAGGTGACTATCACAATACTAGTATGTCAAACCTGGGACCAGACTAGGTAAGGTTTGAACCACTCACACCGAGAAGGCCCCCTACTCTTTTTGATACGTGTGGTGGGTTCTTTAACGTGTGTGGGGTGTGTCTTTCCCCAAAAACGGGACCTCCATTTAACTCCCTACACGAGGAAGGGTCCCCAACTGACGCTAGGTACTTGTTTGCACCTGAGTGAAGTGAGGAAAGTCGTATGAAGTGACTTTCCCAAGGGCACAAGATCGCTGACATCGGTGACCCCTTGGGTCTGAGCCGAGCACGCTACCGCTACGATACACGACCCCACCTCTTTCAGGGCAGGCAGTACTATTAGATTTGTCCATAGGAACACATGCTTAAATACACTATTAGAAGTCCTCATGAAAGTACTTGCCCATGCTTCAATCTCATTTTTTTTTCTGCACAAGGTAGCAACAAGGGTCTAATTCCCAAATATAGAAAGAAAACAGGGGGTCGACCAGGTCAAATTCCCGCCACAGCTGATGATAGTAACAAAACCTCAACTTTGACCTACATTTTTTTATGGTATCCATCCGCCTGGCCAGACAGGACCTAACCACTCACATCTCTCACTACGCCCACTAAACTGGTGAAATAAACAAAACTTGACCAATGTAGGAAAGTTTAGACCTTTCCTGTGCCTTCCAGCCCAAAAATCTCCAAAATGGACCCAAACTTTCAAGAGAAAAAAAAAGATTTTTAAAGGTATTAACCAGGCACTACAATCGTCTGCTCTGGAATGCAGAAGGCATGAAATTCCAAATCCGACGCCATACTGTCAACCACCTTCAGCTGAATTTGTTGATCGCCAGAATGTCATTGAATTTCAAAACCATCACAGGGTCAAATCTATTTTGAAGATCTACCTAACAAAAGAACGAGTGAAAATTACCATACCTTTTAGAAGAGGGCAAATCTTTTCCAGTGCCCCTACTGGTCCCTGCTGTGTGTACTGTCCCACGGACAGCTCCATGTACAGCAGTGGAATACCACAGAGAAACAGCATGATGAAGTAAGGTATGAGGAAAGCACCTACAAAAACAAAACATACATGTTGGCGTTCAAATGGATGTGTATACGTATAATATATTCAAAACATACGGTGATGCATAGGATGAATATATATTTTTCATCTGATTCATATTTTTCAACTGATTCATCAAAATATTCCATCTAGTAAAATGGTTGAACTATATTGTGCTGTCATTGGCATACTGGTTTTATGTCAAAGACATTTATTTCGTTGTTTCTAAAATTGCAAGTTATTAGAATTTTTCAAGAAATTTGAAACTATCTCCTACCAACTTAATGTTACAGGTGGAATTTTCGAAGTGCTGCAGTTCTACTTCTACCTGTCGAGCACGGAATAACATTTTTGTGTTAAATACATGAACATGGTTTGTTACAAACACTTGCAAATAAACTCGTTTCATTTTTTTAAATTTTTCATATGCCTTGTAAGATTTGGTTGTTTACTTTTTTTCGCATCGCTGAACACAGAATAATACATGGACGAAATGTTGTTGGGCCGGTTTAGACGGTTGCAACTGGTTCGTCCCACAAAGTAGGCTACTACTGTTTTGCTACTATCAGATTACTGGCATAACTGGAAACAGCCAAAACTGGCAGTAATTGACCAAAGCAAGCAGGAATGGAAATGATTTAAGTTTACGACTAGTCTAATCTTTCAGTTTATCACTCCTTAAACGAGGAGTGATACACTGTTGTTTTGTACTTAGGTCAATTTTGTTGTACCCTCGTATCTGTCGGTATGTTTACATGTAGTTAAGGACCTTACGACAGTCGCTGTATTTTTGTTGTGTCAAAAAAAGTTATGTATAAAAGAACTTACCGCCGCCACTTTTGTAACAGAGGTACGGAAACCTCCAGACGTTTCCCAGTCCGACTGCATAGCCGACCATCGCCAGGAGGAACTCGGCTTTCCGGGCCCACTGGTCCCTGGGTTCTCCCGGCTCCGTGTCGTGTACCGGCCCGCGGTGATCGGGGGCGTCCTCGTCTTTGTCGAGCATCGGGTCTCTCACCCTGGTCTCACTTCCGGGCTGGGTCCACACTGAGCTGAGCATGGTGGGTCAATGAGACCGGGTTCTTTCGCATATGTTTGTCGTACTGTTCTGTGCAATTAACACGTATTTTACAGAACTGACGGTCAATGACCCTTGCGTCCGCACCGGAAGCAGCGGCCGCGGGGCACTGCCAGGGCATCGGGCGAGACCATTTGTAAACGTTGTGATACTTATGTACCAGGATAATGCTGTACATGAATTTCAATTTGTTGTCTAACAATTTTTTTTCAAAAATCTTACCAGCTATCATTACGAAAAGAACAAAATACGAACAGTAAAGAATGGCTGACAGACATTAGAAGCTAACACTAGAAAGGCCGACATTTGCAAGTACACCATTTTTCACTCAATATACTTCCCTATTCCAAAATGGACTGTTCCATATCAACCTTTCCCGTCCAGTATCGAGTGTTTCAATACTGTATGGGGGTTTCGAGAAGAATTGTTACGAACATCATATGCTCTCGAAACCAACATAAGTAAAAATATCTCGAAACCCATATACAGGGCTTTTTTGTGTACCTAAACCCCCGCGTAGTACTTTTCAGAAACAAATATTCTCAAAACTCCTTTTTATTTAAAGTGTTCAAAAAGACGCCCCATTAAGTGGTTTTCGGTTTAAAAAAGTGTTTTCCAAATCCCCATGTTGTGCTTTTTCCTAATAGGTCACACCAAGTAAATTTTATTGATGATGGCCTGTTCCTAGAAAAAAAACACAAGAAATTCCGTTTCCTGTAACTATGACCAAAGAGTCACGACAGTGCCGCAAATCACCAGATTGATGTGAAACCCGTAACGCGAAGAAAGAGTCTATTGACAGGACCATCCTGTCAATAACAGAAAATTTTTCACTGTCCACTGTTCCACCTGAATTATTGCTGTTTTGATGATGAATAGAAGAAGTTCTTGCATGTTACACTGTGCCACCTCATTCAATTTGTGTCCTAACCTTTGTCGTCTCTTAGTATATTTCTAATCTAGGCATCTTGGTTTTAGGGCCCTTCTTGTTTTGTTTTTTTGCCCTCTCGCATTAGATATAGGGTCTCCAAAGGACATCATCCATAAAATTTATTTGGTGTAGCCATACCCCATTCCACTTGACGGTTGTCGCCTCGCTCTCTCCGCGACCTGAAATTTGCCAGAGCGCAGGGAGAGCGTGGGATCTCTCCGGTGACCATTCTGTGCTCTCTGCGCGACCAAAAATTCAAATGTTAGCAACTCCAGTTGTTGACCAAATATTTCACAGCTAACTCAACGAATTACCGAAATAGAGAACGAATTTAGTACTGTTGACGTGCTTTATTGTTTTTAAAGTCATTCTTGTACGCCCTGTATCATACTCAAATTATGAAATCAAGGGTGTAAGGCGCTCATTCCACTACGACGGGGCGCTCACTGCGACATGACATTTGCCGGAGCGCAGAGAGAGCGTGGAGATGGTGAGAGCGGGTAGACCGCTGTGCGCTCTTTGCGCTCACTGAGCGCTGTTGGATCGCCTCCTCGGCGCTCTCACGGTGACGGTATGAGCATGTTCAAAACAGTCGCCGAGGTGACGGCGCGCTCATCGTGCTCCCATGGCGACCTTGGGGATCTTTCGGCGCTCTCTCCGCGCTCTGGCTAATTTCATAAGTAGAACGAACTTCTCTGTACTCCTCTCGGGTAAAAAATTGATTCTCGCAAACAACACGGCCGGGTCCTAGCTTGGAAATGTGACCGTGCCCTTGGTGTAGTTTTTTTATACAGGCACGCTGCTCTGTCAGCAGAGGCTCTGTCCATAACAGGCCGAACCGCAGGGGGGCGCTTCAGCACGCACTGAGCCATGGTTGCCAGGGGCAACATGGACAGCGATGGGTT